TGTATTCAATTGTTTTGTGTGTAAAAGAAAAAAAGTGAGAAATTATAATATATGACATTTAGGTAAAATAACATTATTTTAATAGGATTTAAACTGTTTACTGTTAAATTGGCCTACGTTGCAACACATTACAATATAAGCGACACATGATTTGAAAAAAAGTCCAAGGCACACAGTGCTTTCAATCAAATAGAAATTTCAGTTTGGCAAATGTATCTTAGTCATTTAATTGTGTCAATATATGTTCTATAAGAGCGTGATGCGATTAATTATGTGAGACGTCATAGCAAATATTGATTGTAATAAAAACAATAATTGTTGGTTCACTTATTGATAAGTTGGATGACGCAAAATTAGGCTAGTTAAGAAATAGGTTAAAGGGAAATAAGAAAATGTAGAAGCTAAGAACTAGCTTACTCCAGCTAGATATTGGTCAATCAGAACCAATAGAATTGCATTGGAAGTAACTGACTAGTCACCTGTTATAGTCAGCTGACGAAACGTCAGGAGTTAGCAAATAGTATACGTTTAGCAGCAGTTGGTCAGTAATGGAGAGTATAAGAAAGATTTAAATGTTGTTAGTACTAGGAAATAATTTTGTGAGAAGAAGTAATATATACATATATATATATATATACATATATATATATATATATATATATATATATATAGAGAGAGAGAGAGAGAGAGAGAGAGAGAGAGAGAGAGAGAGAGCGAGAGATAAATTGGGAGAGAAAGCGTGTGTCTGTGTGTGAGCATATGTATTTAAATATGTGTCTGAATTTCTATACTAGTGCTGACTAAACTTCTGTAATATTAGTGTAGCTTAGTGTACTTGGTCTAGAATGTTTGTTCTTTGCTTACGGTTGTCTAAAAAAGTATTCATGCCTCGACGTAGGACAAGGAATATAACCCACGAAGTCGTAAGAAAAACAAAAATTATTTGGGTTATTATGTAGTAATTAAATTAACTGATATAATATGATTATAAAACAGCATTGAATTATTTGCGTATCTTTTGAGCTTGAATCTAGGTCAGCCGTGTTGCGTTCTCTTCAGATGCGGGTAATCGAGTGTAATGTCATGCTCCAGTTTTTGGAAGAAGGCCAACTGATTGTGTGGGGGTGATGTGGGAAGTGTTAGGTGTAATGTCATGCTTCAGTTTTTGGAAGAAGGCCAACTGATTGTGTGGGGGTGATGTGGGAAGTGTTAGGTGTAATGTCATGCTCCAGTTTTTGGAAGAAGGCCAACTGATTGTGTGGGGGTGATGTGGGAAGTGTTAGGTGTAATGTCATGCTCCAGTTTTTGGAAGAAGGCCAACTGATTGTGTGGGGGTGATGTGGGAAGTGTTAGGTGTAATGTCATGCTCCAGTTTTTGGAAGAAGGCCAACTGATTGTGTGGGGGTGATGTGGGAAGTGTTAGGTGTAATGTCATGCTCCAGTTTTCGGAAGAAGGCCAACTGATTGTGTGGGGGTGATGTGGGAAGTGTTAGGTGTAATGTCATGCTCCAGTTTTTGGAAGAAGGCCAACTGATTGTGTGGGGGTGATGTGGGAAGTGTTAGGTGTAATGTCATGCTCCAGTTTTTGGAAGAAGGCCAACTGATTGTGTGGGGGTGATGTGGGAAGTGTTAGGTGTAATGTCATGCTCCAGTTTTTGGAAGAAGGCCAACTGATTGTGTGGGGGTGATGTGGGAAGTGTTAGGTGTAATGTCATGCTCCAGTTTTTGGAAGAAGGCCAGCTGATTGTGTGGGGGTGATGTGGGAAGTGTTAGGTGTAATGTCATGCTTCAGTTTTTGGAAGAAGGCCAACTGATTGTGTGGGGGTGATGTGGGAAGTGTTAGGTGTAATGTCATGCTCCAGTTTTTGGAAGAAGGCCAGCTGATTGTGTGGGGGTGATGTGGGAAGTGTTAGGTGTAATGTCATGCTTCAGTTTTTGGAAGAAGGCCAGCTGATTGTGTGGGGGTGATGTGGGAAGTGTTAGGTGTAATGTCATGCTTCAGTTTTTGGAAGAAGGCCAACTGATTGTGTGGGGGTGATGTGGGAAGTGTTAGGTGTAATGTCATGCTCCAGTTTTTGGAAGAAGGCCAGCTGATTGTGTGGGGGTGATGTGGGAAGTGTTAGGTGTAATGTCATGCTTCAGTTTTTGGAAGAAGGCCAACTGATTGTGTGGGGGTGATGTGGGAAGTGTTAGGTGTAATGTCATGCTCCAGTTTTTGGAAGAAGGCCAACTGATTGTGTGGGGGTGATGTGGGAAGTGTTAGGTGTAATGTCATGCTCCAGTTTTTGGAAGAAGGCCAACTGATTGTGTGGGGGTGATGTGGGAAGTGTTAGGTGTAATGTCATGCTCCAGTTTTTGGAAGAAGGCCAACTGATTGTGTGGGGGTGATGTGGGAAGTGTTAGGTGTAATGTCATGCTCCAGTTTTTGGAAGAAGGCCAACTGATTGTGTGGGGGTGATGTGGGAAGTGTTAGGTGTAATGTCATGCTTCAGTTTTTGGAAGAAGGCCAACTGATTGTGTGGGGGTGATGTGGGAAGTGTTAGGTGTAATGTCATGCTCCAGTTTTTGGAAGAAGGCCAACTGATTGTGTGGGGGTGATGTGGGAAGTGTTAGGTGTAATGTCATGCTCCAGTTTTTGGAAGAAGGCCAACTGATTGTGTGGGGGTGATGTGGGAAGTGTTAGGTGTAATGTCATGCTTCAGTTTTTGGAAGAAGGCCAACTGATTGTGTGGGGGTGATGTGGGAAGTGTTAGGTGTAATGTCATGCTCCAGTTTTTGGAAGAAGGCCAGCTGATTGTGTGGGGGTGATGTGGGAAGTGTTAGGTGTAATGTCATGCTCCAGTTTTTGGAAGAAGGCCAACTGATTGTGTGGGGGTGATGTGGGAAGTGTTAGGTGTAATGTCATGCTCCAGTTTTTGGAAGAAGGCCAGCTGATTGTGTGGGGGTGATGTGGGAAGTGTTAGGTGTAATGTCATGCTTCAGTTTTTGGAAGAAGGCCAACTGATTGTGTGGGGGTGATGTGGGAAGTGTTAGGTGTAATGTCATGCTCCAGTTTTTGGAAGAAGGCCAGCTGATTGTGTGGGGGTGATGTGGGAAGTGTTAGGTGTAATGTCATGCTTCAGTTTTTGGAAGAAGGCCAACTGATTGTGTGGGGGTGATGTGGGAAGTGTTAGGTGTAATGTCATGCTCCAGTTTTTGGAAGAAGGCCAGCTGATTGTGTGGGGGTGATGTGGGAAGTGTTAGGTGTAATGTCATGCTTCAGTTTTTGGAAGAAGGCCAACTGATTGTGTGGGGGTGATGTGGGAAGTGTTAGGTGTAATGTCATGCTTCAGTTTTTGGAAGAAGGCCAACTGATTGTGTGGGGGTGATGTGGGAAGTGTTAGGTGTAATGTCATGCTTCAGTTTTTGGAAGAAGGCCAGCTGATTGTGTGGGGGTGATGTGGGAAGTGTTAGGTGTAATGTCATGCTCCAGTTTTTGGAAGAAGGCCAGCTGATTGTGTGGGGGTGATGTGGTAAGTGTTAGGTGTAATGTCATGCTTCAGTTTTTGGAAGAAGGCCAGCTGATTGTGTGGGGGTGATGTGGGAAGTGTTAGGTGTAATGTCATGCTCCAGTTTTTGGAAGAAGGCCAGCTGATTGTGTGGGGGTGATGTGGGAAGTGTTAGGTGTAATGTCATGCTCTACTCTTTTAGAAGTTTAAATTTAACACAAGGGATGAGGGAGTGGTTTTAGACATGTGGGGAAGGCGGGTGAGGGAGCTTGTAATAATATGGTTGTTTAGACCGAATTGTGTTTTTGGCAATTATTTACTTCACGCTTCCCTCAAGTTCTATAGCCACACGTGTTAATAAGTTAAATGTTACACAGTTTAGTGTTTTATGCGAAAGGACTAATGTAGTCTGATTAGTATTTTGTATAATTAACGTTTCACTAACTTTGATCTTTTTTATCTTGGCATATTTAATGATAGCAACACATTCAACCTGTTTTAAGAGAAGTTCAAAAAACATAGTGTAAACATAGTTTCTCACACACAAAAATAAAGTAGGAAACATTTGAAGTTGCAACAAAACTAATTTGGTTACATTATAAACGTATTATGGCATTTGTTAGGCTTTTTAAATAAAATTACCCTTTCGAACCCAACGGTCCGTAAAGCGGGTGAAGTAGAGTCCACTTGTTTCAGTGATCTCGGCATATGAATGGATGTAATGATCAGCACTTTATGCAGTCGGTTTTTACTTTCCCTAACGCGAGTCAGGTACCCATAAGCTCTGGGTAGACTCAGGGGCGTCATACAGAATTGGGTACGTGATCCAAACTTGAGACTTTAGAGTTATCAGACATATAACCTACATTATTTTAAAAAAATATGTATACTTCTGCATACCCTTTTGTATTTCATTTCTGTGTTTATATGTATAATGTCTGTGTATGTGTGTGTTATATGTGTATGTATGTATACACAAACCTTTAAAAGCCTGCCATATATAAAATATTGTCTGACATTCTGTTTAGGTCTTATTTTCTGGGTTTTTACCTAGAGGTACTATATATCCGAATTACGTGGCGCAACTATTTATAGATGGAGCTAAAAATGTTTGAAGGATGTAAATTGGAAATTCCATCATGAGGAATTTCGCTGACGTGTATATCTGTTACGTTATTGTGGGTCTGTGTGTGTGTGTGTGAGAGAGAGAGAGAGAGAGAGAGAGAGAGAGAGAGAGAAAGAGAGAGAGAATGTAACTGTTTGTATGTGTATGTAGATGGTTTGTTGATAATATTAAATGACTGTATGTTTTCTTCTTTTTGATTGCTCTTAACAATTAACCTTTCTGTATATGTTTGTCGCACGTAATGTAATGACTTGGAGTAGAGACAGAAGAATGCCATACATTCATATCCCGCCAACACTTATTCATCCACATACACTCAGATATTATAAATGTAGGTCACCTGGTTTTTTTTTTTAAATGTAAAGGTGATGCCAAGCGGAAACAGGTCTAAAGTTTCTACACACCAGTGTCGTGAATCATTCGGCTGTTGAAGTCGCTGAAGACGGAAGCTTTAGCAGGGATAGGGGGAATCTTTCGATAAAGTACCTTTACTAGTAAGTTATTTTTTCATTCACTAATTTAAAACATTAGCTATGTTGAACATGATAGAAATCGATTTTGTTACTTTTAATAACAAATTAAAAATGTAAAAAATGGTTTGGATTCAAATATAAATTTTACAGTTATAATTGTGATGTTAAATTAGCTATATTGTAAAGCTCTGTATTGTTTAGTATTAGCAGGGGGTTAAGAAAAGGAAAGATTTTATAATTATTATATTATTATCTGTGTATTGATACGTTTTAGTATATAATCTAACTTAACTTACATCCCTGAAAGAAATACCAAAAATGGAAGATCTGGAACATACTAAAGACGAGTCATGCGATATTATCGAAGAGTCTTCGACATCAAGAGGAAAATGTATAAATGAAGATAACAACGCTACACAATCGGGTAAAGTAAACTATACACAGATATATTTTTAATAACAGTATGTTAATATGTTTAGGCATATATATATATATATATATATATATATATATATATATATATATATATATATATATATATATATATATATATTATATATATATATATATATATGTATATATATATATATATATATATATATATATATATATATATATATATATATATATATTTCGAATGCTATTTGACATTGAACTGTTTGTTCTGCCAACTTCCTTTATATCCAATGTCCATTTCATCGACAGATAAATTTAGACCGGGGTAAAATGCATTTTGGATTGATGCCACCAGGTTGTTTAGAAAAGGCTAAATTTTATCTTGCGGTTCTTGCCCATACAAACGTGTGGAATGTTGACCTTCTTTTAGAGACCAGTAGCTTTTTATTGAAGGCCTAGGGTTTAGGCACATAGCTATCAAAGTAGCAAAAAAATGTCAACAACGCTGTTCTTGTTACTGGTTGAAATTTATAGTAGACTAAATGCCGCAATAATAACTAAATAGTAGCAGGACCACTGTCAATTATATGCTCATCTAGTCCTGTTACATTAGTATTAGCACTATTAGAGCTAGCAGTGTTAATACCAGCTGTCGTTTCTCTAGTCATAGGCCCCTTACCCTTCCCTACATAGGGTTAGCCACGCCCACTTGTGGAATCACTATCGCTATAACCACTATTACTAACACTCGCACTGTAATTGCTTGGGGGTCATCCATAAATGACGTCACGCATTTTTTTACCTCCCCCCTCCCACCGTCACACATCGTCACAAAAAACCAGACCCCCCCAAATGACGTCACACCTCAGCCGATAACCCCCCCCCCCCCCTCCCCCTCTCAAGATAGTGGCTGTATTATTGTATAAATGTTCGTATACATTTAAAAAACTGTTTTATGCTTCATTATAAAATTATGTAATAATTCTTTTTATTCAAGCTCATTGGACTAGCAGGAGTATTAAGTTAACATTTTAGACTTTACCATAAACGTTTGTTCTTATTTATTAATAGATAAGGAAATAGTAATAATTGGTGCCTATATTTTTATACAATCCTACGCTCTTCGGAAACATTTTACATTTAATCATCATTGAATCTATGTCCCCTCTTCATTGTTCAACAACACTTAATAGTGTGAACTCAATATCTGAAACAAATTTCTAAACATCTACCTTAGAATTTTATTTTTATTTCATATAGAATTAGCTAAAATTCGAAATAAACATATGGAACCTAGCTCGAAAATATTCTAATGATCTTTAAGAATGTCTAGTATAAATGGAAAGTCATATATCATAATCGTTATTTTTTTCTTTTTAGGAACAAAATATCACGTTATAAAATCGGATACTAGTGGCTATTTTGGTCCATATGGGGTTGTGTTCGGTAAACTTATTATTATTTCTACCTTAATAATTGTCTTATGTGTATTACATATCAATGTGCATTCTTATTCTTATGCTTGTTCGTGTTTGTTTGCGTTTAAAAGCGATTGTCCAACAATGTGTGTTTTTAATGTTGCTAAAAATATTACTAAAACCGACACCATCAGTGCAATATCGCCCATCTAAGCCTTAATAAACTTAATATGTAAATTCTTAAATTAATTAGCAAAACTAAATTGTAGAGCCTCTTACTATCTCAAACTTATACAATATACTATCGCTTAAGAACCGTTTTTGCGCAGTGCTTATGTATTAATTTGAAACAAAAAAATAAGTTCTAAGTGTGTATCCTTTATATTGTAGGTGCTCCATCTATTCGTAAGTATTATTATATTTACTTATAAATACACATTTAACTTTAAAGTAGATCAGTATTCATTATTGCGTTCGAAACTATTTTTTCCATCTCTTTTAAAATTATATCCAAAGTAGTTTAAAACAAAATTATTTAATCACCGTGTACACTGTCCATTATCTGCGAGCCTAAAATGTTTGTACAAACGTAGGCTTAAAATAATTGCTTATTAATTAATTAATTAATTAATTACTTTGTTTTAGCATCTCGTAAGTATTACATTTTTATTAGCATTTCTTTTCAAACTTTCCATTATGATGGTTATAATGCATTGTGTGTAACTACAATTTTAACTATAAAGGGAAAATTACATTTAAAACTTATAAACCACAAAGTCTATGCATAAAATGGAGAAAAAAGCGAATGGATTTAATTTTTTAGATTCAGCTAAATCAAACGAACACAAGCACATAATTGATTTAGACAAATAAGTTCTAAGTGTATTTCCTTTATATTGTAGGTGCTCAATCTATTCGTAAGTATTATTATATTTACTTATAAATACACATTTAACTTTAAAGTAGATCAGTATTCAGTATTGCGTACAAGCGTATTTTTTCCATCTTTTTAAAAATTATGTCCAAAGTAATTTAAAGCAAAATTATTTCATCACTGTGCACAGTGTCCATCATCTGCTAGCCTAAAATGTTTTTACAAACCGATGTTATAAGTCAATGTTGCATTATTAATTATATACACATTTGAAGATTTTAAATGTAAATTCCCATTACGACATTGTTATTATCATAATAAACTTTTTTTTAATATAAACATTTTGAGTAGTGGTAAGTTTGGTTCAAAATGCACAGGAAAGTAATATTGTTTACAGCACACTCGGGTTCTTTCTGAATTCATAGGTCATAATTTATGATTGATTAATATGAGAGAACACCATGATAAAGGTTTATCCTTGTTTCATTACAGGTCCTCTGCCTGTCCGTCGTGAGTATTATCATCTCTTTTTTTAAAAACACATAAACACCTGTATGGTCGAGATTCGGTATTAAAATAAAAGTTAACATTTCTTTTTAGATCTAATTATTCTTTTGGGCAAATGAAGTAGAGTTTAATGTTTCCTGACCTCGGCGTGTGAGGTCACGATGTGCTAAAAATATTATTTTCCAAACGTAAATCAGGTACCCATCAGAGCTGGGTAGACTGAGTGACGTCCTACAATCGAGATCCGGACTCGCGTTCTTTGGGCAAGCAGTCAAAGGCGCTACACATCAACCACGCCCTCCCACATTTTCTTCATTTAGACTTTAGAGTAAAGAGGAGAGGGGTTGAAAGAGATGAATGTTTTGATATGTGAAAAAAAAATTTAATAAATAAAACGTGATGTTGGCGGCGGTGTCTTAACATTCTATTAATGAATGTTTTGAACACCCTATTTAGCCGACGTGTTGCGGTAGTTATACAGAGCTTATGACACGGTGTAAGCGGCGCGACGTCTCGCAACATTGAACAGAGACATGTTTGTTTGATTATCTTGTTATGTTTAACTTGTGTGGTGATAATTTCACAAAAGAACGAGCCGCGGTCTAGGTTGCGAATTTAAAAACTGAACTTTCTCAAATATGTTTCATCCTCTATTAATGCACCTTGTTTGAAAAAATGAGGTGAAGCGATTACTTTATAAAGAAAGTAAAGTTCATTTTGAAATCCTTAGATAAACAAAAATGGTATTTTTGTCTTATTTTATATATGGAAGAGAAAGTATGTTTCTACATTTTTCATATAGCAAATGCATATAAATTAAGATTATATGATATTTGTATTCCTTCATTTTTGCGTGCATATGATTTGTTTATCAACAATTTAGATTTAAAATGATTATGAATGATTATTTGGAAAAATATAATGGTAATATTTTTCGTGCAAACGGACAACGGGCGAATGGCACTCGGGCATTTGTCCCATTCGTTCAAGTGTCCATTCGGGAAATCGGCCTTCGGGCAAACAGCATTTGTGCGTCTTACAAGAATTTGTTGTAGACCTGTTTGTGAGTGTGTGTGTGTGTGACAATGTGAGTGTGCGCGTGCGTTTAATTTGCATAAATAAGTTTAAATAAATTTAAATAACTATATATTTTACTATATACGACGGATTTATGTATTTGTATTTATCGTACGTGTTTGGCGTGGCTGTAAGTTTAACATAACGCTTTATAAATATTTTTTTTCTTATTCTTTACTAGAAAATTTTTTTTAGTGACTTTCTTCTTTTTACAACGCTACACTTATCAGGAAAATCTAAACTCTTTATTCAAATTTAAAATATTCCAACCCTCGGCCAAATGTCAAATTAATTTAATTCATATTAATTATCTCAAGCTTTGGTAAATTTTTTGCAGAATGTAAATTGTTTTCAATAAAAGGGCATTTTACTAAACATGTGAGGCTTTAGCAATTGGTGATGGTGCAGCTTATCGCGTTTTGAATGCAGGGTATCTTGTTTGTTATGAAAGCAAAAGTTTTTTTTTTTAAATTGCCAAGTGTCAAATAATGATTAATTGTTTATAGAATATTAAATTCAAACAGCTATATTAACCTAAGCCTTACTTCCTCTTTTTGTTTTACAAACAGGCCTAAATACACATTTAAGGTATTCAGATTTCAACACTGGAGAATGGAAAAGCATAATTGGTAAATATTTAGGTTTACTTTTAAAATAGGTTAAAATAGATGTTAAACTAAAACAAAAAAATTAATACAAAAATGACAAGTTACTGAACTATCGATAAAAATAACTGCATTTCCCTAATAACCATACGAAAGAAAACCTAAAATACATTGCTTAATAAGCACTGTGGATTGTATACCACAATAAATATATATAGCATCCATTATTCTAGGAACCAAACAAGTGTCAGTAAGTAATAAAGTTCTACATTAATCATTTTACAAATACGTTAATCCTATTCTTAATGGGTTTTCTCCACAGACACACTTCAACACGAAGTTCAAGTGTGTCATCCTTTTGAAACAGAAGAAAATTTATTCACACATTTCAAAACGTGTCAGAAAAATCCAGACCATGCGGGATTTATTCCAATCCATGATTTTAATGTTCGACATATAAACATAACAAAAAAAGTGGAGGAGTTGTACACCATCATTAAGATAGCCGCGGATCTTACAGTAAGGATAGCTGTAACCTACACAAGCACAGCTAGACCTAAGTATGTTGAAGGATCAGTTCAAGAATATCCGTGTTCTAATCTAAGAGGGACAAATTGTCTCAGAACAGGGACAGGAACTATAGTTGGTGTGTCAAAATTTCAAGATGAGGATAAGAAAACGTGTCATTGTAAGGGGTGTAAAGTTTCAGACACTCCTCAAACCACCTGGTGGAGTGTGGGTGTGATGACAGCCACCCACATGGTGTTTGACGACAGCGAGGCTGAGAGTGCCACATGCAGGCTGTTCTTTGACCAGGCGGACAGTCCAGTTGTGACGTTAGATGGCTGGAGAATGTGGGACATGAGCATCAAGGGAGACACCTGCAGATTTTCTTGTGCCTCACATGACATGGAATTGTACGAGAAAGTCCAACGCATCTTCAAAAGTTTTCTTTTCTACCCCAACACGTTTGAAGAAGGCGTGTCTTTTATAGTGGCGCATCCACATGGCTGTTCAAAACACGTCTCTTTAGGAAAATACAAACAAAAACATATCAAGCATTTGCATCTGCATTACAACGCAACAAAATACTCTTATGAAATGAGTACATGTCCAGGAAGTAGCGGGGCTTATGTATTCACTAGTGAACACTTGCTTGTACCTCACGTACACAGTGGATGTAAAAATGGCATCAATTACAGTGGGGAAGGATTTCAAGAAAAGTACTCAGACTTACACCGGTTAAAATTTCATAGCACTCCCCCTCCCCCCTTCCCCCCGCCCCCGCCTTCCCCCAAGATTTATAAAATAAATAATATCTCGCAGCTTTAGAAATATTAGTAGCCTACAAAGGTAATTGCATACTAGAGAAACTGAATTAAATTTTTAAAATGTAATTTGCAATCAATACATGTGTGCATATATATAAATAAAATACAGTTCCTAATAATTTATCTCATAATTTTCTTTCACTAACATATATTTTATTACCCGCTAAATTGGACATTCGTCATACACATCAAATAATTGTACATCATGCATGAGTGCTGGTTTTTATTAGGAATTTAACTAAATGAACCGCACTGAGCTTACATCACCACCCCTTACTATACAATACAACAATTATTTTTAAAATTGTATTCCCCTATCGTTTTCGTGTATCTTGACAGGTACACAAAAACTGAGGTATTGTTTTTTTACGAAACAAATTTAAAAAATAAAAAATAAGACATAACATTTGCCAATTAATTATTCACCATTTCATTTTCTTGTGATTTCTCTTTATTTTAAGATTTGCAATGTACAGTTTTTTAACAGTTTATTCATTAAGATGGCTTTGAATTAAGCTTGCATAATATATTTACTAATTTCCACCTTGTGTATTAAATATTAATTTTAAGCCTTCTCTATATATTAAAAAACCTATTGTGGAAATACAGATAAGTAACATGTATTCACGTCCGCAATAAATGTAAATACATCAATTTTGAAAGGGATGAAAATACAGAACATTTAAAACATTGGGTAAGGTAAGTTGTAAATTAGAGGAGGGGGGGGGAGATGGAGTGTGACGTCATTTTAGGGGAGGGTCTGACTTTTCGTGACCATGTGTGACGTAGGGGGAAAAGGGGGGAAAAAATTACCAAATAAACGTGACGTCATTTATGGTCGACCCCGATGTTGTTGTACGCAGTGAACGATAATACAAGGGAAGCCATTGGTCGAGTGACAGCGGGTATGTTGTGAGCGGGAGAAAGGGGGTGTTTAGGTATAACTTCGGTAGGACAGTTGCAGGTTGGAGCAAGAAGGCGAAGATCGATGTGAAGCGAAATAGATGGGATTAAACTTGATTGGTATACCTAACCCTTACGAGTTTGTTGGTGTATACGTATACTTAGTGTGCAAGACCCCTCACTCCCTCACACTCGCTATTAGTTTATGATCATTGTACATTTAACATGTTTAAGGAGTAGAGATTATTTAAAACCAAACATCATTTTATCAACTTAATTTTATAAACACTCAACGACTAGGAAAGGAAACATTATTTAATTCGTAATATAATTAACTTTCATGATAATTATTTACACTATTGTTTATTAGATTTCAAATTGTCGTTAGTTTTTTTCTAAATTATCTTTCCGAACCTGACGATCAGTTGGGTAGGTGAAATAGGGTTAATCTTCTGCAGTCGCCTTTATTTACCCTAATCAGATTGGGTAGGCTTTCCTGGATCTGAACTCGAGACTTTCGCGTTAGCAGTGGTATATTGTATGCTATTCTTTAATAACTTCTTCAACGTTTAGTATGTAGTTTGTGTTTTTGCATGTATAGTGTCTGTTTATATCTATCTGTATTTCACTTATGCTTATTGTTACAATCGGCTTCTTATATATACACAAGACGACACTTGTGCTGAAGCCTATACCGTATGTAAAACAGTGTTGTTTGTCACTTATAAGCCCACAGGGTATTTAGGTCTTTTTATATGTGTTAATACCAGGCGCTCTTGATCCTTATTAATGTCACAACTATTTATAGCTTGAGCTAACATCCTTGTCAGGTTGTAAAATGGAAATTCCATCTATAAAAATTTCGATGACGTGTGTCTCTTAAGTAATTATGTGGATGATTGTGTGTAAAAGTGTTTGTTTGTGAATATGTTTGACGTGCATTTTTCGAGAATGTATATCACGGTTGGAGTGCTTTAGTGTTTGTATATGTTAATAATGTTTAATGGCTGTATACATATTTACTTAATTTAATTTCTATTAACCAATGTCTTTCTGTATATGTGTGTTAATAATTGTGATTGCAAGTATGTAAGTCTATGTGTGCAAAGAGTTGGGGTAGATATAAAAGAAGACAAATCGTTTGTGTTTCTCAAATACATATTTATTTACATACACCGATATTTTTTAAAAGCGGTTTACCATTTTGTTAAAATGTACAGGTGATGCCAAGCGGAACTGCTGCTTAAAGTATACTATCTGAAAAATCTTGACGTTTCTACGAGAGTAAACATTTAGCGTGAACAACAGCTCACCAGACCATGTGGGGGTGGGGGTGGTAGGGATATGCCTAGAGAGGAAGAGAGGGGGCTGCTAGGCGCGCTTACAGCCTAATGTTTTCTATTGTATCGAAGAAGAGAATTATATATATAGAAGATTACGCTGTTATGAAATATATTTCGAAACAATTAACTAAGTTGTATACATTTGCCAGATTACAATTTATATTTTATTAATAAGTGCGAGTGCCGTGAGCCTATTTCAAATAATGTATCGCTTTTATTTCAATGTGTTGCGTTCTAAAGAAAGTAGGCCACTTTAAAAGTAAACAGTTTAAATCCTGTTAAAGGGACGTTATAACTGTGGAGTGGGCTTTTTTTTTACTCATAAGAGGATTTGTGAATAGCTCATTGATATTTTGTCTGGAAAAAAAGTGTCTTTAAGATCTTCTATCCATACATTTAAAGTATTTTTTCCCAATCATTGATATTGTTGTTTTGATGTTTTAAACATTTTAAAAATAAAATTTAATGTCTTGATCTAATGTGCCTTTAATACAACGTTTAAATATAAAAATCTAAAAAAAATGTTTTTAATTACATTTTCTTTCCAACTGCCAGATACATAAAAATAGAAGAACTAAGATAATTTATTAAAAATGAAAAATAGCTTTATGGAAATAATAACAAAAGAGTGTGCTATTCAGATGTTTGTCATTGTGAATAACTCAAAACGTATTCAAAATGTATTCTTTAAAAATGTAAACATTTAAAATTGAATTTAAAAAAGTTAAATAGTGAATTAAACAAATCATATATCAGAATTAATATTATTTTGTAAAAAAAAAATGTAAGTAAATAATTTTGATAATAATTCATGAAGTATATTTTCAGATTAATAATTTGTATTTATGGAGTTTTAAAAGCTAAAAAAGAAGAAAAAGCATAATTGTATAGGAAAAACTATCCCCATATTTTAAACATTAAAATGTGTAAAACATTTATAATATTACTAAAAAATTAAATGTTTAATAGAAATTTAGATAGCATACCTGATGACTAGGTAATAATAATAATAATAATAATAATATTAATAATGAATGATACAGTATATGTTTTTCTTCTCGAAATATGTAACAGTATATTTCAATTTTAAAACGTAATTGTCCTCTATGCGCCATGGTTAAGACTAAGAACTGCTTTTTAGTTAATAAGAATAGACAATTATTGGCTATTAAGGTATATTAATGACACTATTTCTCTTGAAATCTTTCTCCACTACGATTAACGCCATTTTTACATCCACTGTGTACGTGAGGCACAAGCAAGTGTTCACTAGTGAACACATAAGCCGCGCTACTTCCTGGACATGTACTTAAATCATAGCTGTATTTTGTTGCGTTGAACCACAGTAGTAAGTGCTTTATATGTTTTTGTTTGTATTTTTTTACGGAGACTTGCCGTGTGGATGGGAAACTATAAAAACCACGCCTTCTTCAAACTTGTGTGGACAATACAGGTAACTGTTGTACATTTTCTGGACTTTCTCGTACAAATCCATGTCATGTGAGACACAGGAAAATCTGCAGGTGTCTCTTATTATGCTCATGTCCCACATTCTCCAGCCATCTAACGTCACAACTGGACTGTCCGCCTGGTCAAAGAACAGCCTGCATGTGGCACTCTCAGCCTCGCTGTCGTCAAACACCACGTGGGTGGCTGTCATCACACCCACACTCCACCAGGTGGTTTGTGGAGTGTCTGATTTCTTACACCCTTTACACTGACATGTGTTGCCTTCTTCATCTTGATATTTAGAAACACCAACTATCATCCCTGTCCCAGTTCTCAAGATATTTTTGTGACGCAAACCGGCGCACGGGTAGGAAATATTTGTATTTCTAATAACGTCTGGTCTCTCGGGACTAGTGTACTTTACAGCTACCTTCACTGTGAGATCGGCAACAAGTTTTATCATCGTGTACATCTCTTTGATGTTGTCTGTTACGGTAACGTGGTGGGGGTAAAAATCTTCAATAGGGATAAATCCTGTGTGGTTGGGGTTTTCGCCAACGATTTCCAGAATGTGGGCGAATTTGCCTCAGTCTCACCAGGTCCACATTCCACCACCTCGTGCTGCACTTGCAATATTAATAAATATTCTCTTTACAGAACCCTACCATTAAGTGATCGAATCATCTCCCCAAAGTTTCATGGTACACGGATGAACGGTGTGAAACCGAAATAGACATTTATTTTTATAAGCCGCATATAGAGAAATATCGCACCCTCCCGTGGTGCCGCCCTTGCAAAATTAAAAAAGTATTACCTTTTTTACAGAACCCTTCCCTGAATTGTTCTAATCAACTCCCCAAAGTTTGATGGCGATCAGATAAATGGTGTCAAACCAAAATTGACTTTTATTTTTATATACCGTATATTGAGAAAAATCCCACTATTCCGTGGCGCCGCCCTTGCGAAATTAAAAAAAAAATATTTTTTTTACAGAAACCTTCCCTGGAGTGTTCTAATCAACTCCCCAAAGTTTGATGGCGATCGGATGAACGCCGTGAAACCGCAATCGACGTTTATTTTTATATAACGTATATAGATAAAATCGCAACTTCCTGTGGCGCCGCCCTTGCAAGGCTAAAAATATTTTTTTATGGAACCCTTCCCTAGAGTGTTCAAATTAAGTCCCTGAAGTTTGATGGCTATCGGATGAACGTTGTGAGACCGTAAACGACTTTTATTTTTATACAACCTATAGAGAGTGAAAACAAATCGTGCCCTGCCAGGGCGCCACCCCTGAGAATTTTAA